CCCCCCCCCCCCCCCCCTCTCTTTTTAAATCAAAGGCTGGAGAAAGAGATTTTGGATCGTTATCTTGAGGTCGTTTTGAAAGGAAACAAGGATGGATTAAAGGTATTGGTTATTTATTGATGTATATACAGAAGTATTTTTCTGTTCCTTACTAGAACCATGGTTATCATGTAAGGGATTTTTTTAATTCAAATATAGAAACTACGGCTAAGGGTAGAAGATCCTCCAAGAAGAAAGCATATGGTCTATCTTGGAGGTGCAGTTCTTGCAGGAATAATGAAGGTAACTGCAATTCCTACAATAAGTGAATTTACTGTGGTTTTCTTGGTACTCTGACAGAAACTGCACTAACGGGGTGAATTATACTTGGAGTATAATATACTCCACGCGGAAAATTAATTGATTCAGACATGTTCCATGATTTATAAGTTCATTGCGCAATATCAGTTTTTTAAAGGAACGTGCAATAGCAAATATCTCAACTCATAGTTTTCCCATGATAGTTTTCATTCATGGAAATAGGCTATGATGATGATTTTGGATTTTTCATGTCATTATTTCTTCTTAAGAAGGTTTTAAGTGTTAACAGAAAGGGTTTCTTATTAAGAAGGTTGACAGAAAGGGCATCTTTAGTGTTTATTAATTACGTAGTAGTATAGTTAATTGGCACCACAAATTCAAGGCCGCTGATCCCAACTAGTTGTGATGACGGAAAATTTATTGATTCATGCAAAACTTTTATACAAAAAAAAGTTTATTAAAGAAGCTGACCAAATCTGAGTGAACTGGAGCCTGCCCCACCCCCACCCCCAAAGAAACCGTGAACTAGACTTTTTTTTACATGAACTAGACTATTTGTAACGAAAGGGGGTTAATTTGGCTTCTGTGCAGGATGCGCCTGAGTTTTGGATCAGTAGACAAGACTATTTGGAGGAAGGAGCTGCTTGCTTAAGCAAGTGTGGTCAAGCATGAATAGTCTTGTAATGTGTTCCACAAATCACTGTCTAGAATGTTAATCTTATTGTTGTTTGTGGTTAAGTGACAGCATTGTTCACTTAGTGAAGCACTTGTTAATCATTATAGCATACGAGACAAGAAAAACATGTTTTGCAGATGTATTATTATTTTGATCTTATCGCCACTCCAATATGTTTGTGTTAATTGATTGCCCTTTGCAATCGGTCGTATTTCTTTATCGGTTCATTCATTTTTGGTACGTTTTTCTTTCCCTTGAATGTACAAAAATATATTGATGTGCACTCTAACCTGAGGTCTATCCCGGTTTTCAAACCTGCAGTTCAGTAACTGGCCTCCAATGCTCCAAGTGAATTTCCGAATTTCAAAGTTTTGAAACCATAAGAATAGTGAAGAACCTAATGGTTTGTAGTCCCAGAACTACAGGCTCTGGTTTGATTCATGACCGAATTTGGAACCGACAAACCGTAGAGAGAGAGAGAGCAAGAGACACACTTAACACTCAAGCTATGAGCACATGGCAATAATGCATTGTTGTATTACTACAAATATGTATGAAAATGTGTGTTTGCAGGTAGCTAGGATGCACACACAGATGAGAATATTCTCTTCTTCTTCAAGCTTACATGATAAACCAGATATGCTAAGGCATGCATATGACTTTTTGAGGGGGTGGGGGTTTGTATTGACTAATGCTTAATGATTAGTGGAACCACATAGAGCATCATTTCTGGTGGAGGGTCTGAAAGTCAAAGCACTGAGGCTGTAGATGCAGGTATTAGCAGTGATGGATTTGACCGTGACTTCCTCCGTCGTGGTAGTTGAGGCAGGAAGAGTGCAGGCTGAGGCTGAGGCTTGGCTCTTTGGCTGCGGCTGCGTTAGGAGGCTGGCCCTGCAGAAGTTTCCCATTTCTTTCTCCCTGGCACACTCAATTCCATCCACTGAAGGTATCTCCAGCCTGTAAATCCCAAACCTGTTTGTTGTTCTGTTCACTGAAAACTCTATCTGCTCTGCTGTCTTTGGTGACCTTGCTTTGAAGGTGCAGTCTATTCTCACTTCCACACCTGTTGTTATGATTAGCATTTTTTTAACCATAATAAAAAAATTAACATCATTGCAATGATGTTTCCATTTCAGATGTATGTCTTCAGGTGCAGTTTGGAAAATGGCAAAGATGGGAAGTAGAGTTGGATGTAAAGAAGAAAAACAGACATGTTTATTCCTATATTATGCATGTATCACAGCTAGCAAAGCATCCCCATGATTAGTTCTGGGATCCAAACACACCATTGTTAACAAAAGAAAATCACAGAAAGTAAATGCAGGAACTCACCTGGCATGAAGTAGCTGTGTGTGGAGAAGGAATTGTTGGAGCATATATCACAGTAAACCATGCCCATGACAGTGATCTGGGGATCAGTCCCATGGCCTTGGAGAGGCATGGGAGATGATATCACAGCAAACATCAAGAAGAAAAACAAGTTGCAGCAGACAAAGAAGAAGAAGAAGAAGAAGAAGAAAGCAGAAGCCATTATTGGCCAGATGAAGAGAGCAGAACTCCAAGAAAAGGAAGTGTGTGTGAGCTGAGAGAGGAAGGAAATAAGTGTACAGGTAAAGAGGGGGGAAACAGAGAAGCAAAACTATTCTAACACACACACTCTCTCTCTATGTGTACAAACAGACAAAGTAAGAGATGCATGTGAACTTTGTTTGGCAGGTTGTGGACTGGATGTTTGTTAAGCTGGACAAGAAGAAGGGTGAGCTTGGGAGACTGATTCCCTTTTCTTCTCTTCTCTTTCTCTCTTTTTTTTTTCTTGCATCTCTCCTAGCACCAGCCTCCTATATAAATACAGGAAAGATTGGCCAAATGTTATAACTCCCATCACATGTCTCCATATTCCACCTACCTTTCAAATTCTTTAACTTTATTATTTTTAGTATATTATAATTATCATTATTATTACCACTTATCACTATTCTTAATATTACTATTATGGAGTAATAACTGTAATGAAATACTTATTATTAATCTTGCTATTACTAAGGCCATTGATTAGGCACATTTTAGAACAGTTTTTACTCTTGGTTTTTGGTTGTAAAAATTTGAATCATTTGCACCTCTATTCTTTTTATTTATTTATTTATTTATTTATATTTAATTTTTTTGTGAAAGTGCATTTATAGGTAAAAGAATTATACATTTTAATCAAAAATAAATGAAGGGGGGTAAGTAATAAAATAAATGCACATTTTCAACTTATTTGCGTCTGCCATTTCTTTTTAACCTCTCTCTCGTTACAGTTTACATACATATGCTTGCCTGGAGAGTCATGTTCTGTGGATGGGAAAGAAGTCACTGCACGCTTTTACCGGTAACATTTATTCTTAGGGCGTGTTTGGTGGGAGCATTTTAATGGCCAATACCCTCTTCTTTTTTTAAAAATAACATTTGAAGTGTTGGGTAAATTAGTGTCTTGAAGTAGAGTATGATGGGAAAATTGGCAAGTAAAATTTTTTGAAAGGAGAAACATTTCTAAAAGCAGCTTTTGGTATTAGCATTATATTCCCTCCGTCTCAAAAAGTCCTTCCTGTTTCATTTTTTGCGCATCCCAAAAAACACTTCTATACCGCCTTGAATGCCAAAAAAACTTTCAAAATAACTTCTATCCACAATAAAGAAGAAATGTTCTAAATTTTAGGCATTTTAGATGTCGATAGAAGTGTTTTATGGGATGCGCAAAAAATGAAACAGGAAAGACTTTTTGGGACAGAGGGAGTACATTACTCCGTACATAATAGTTACACATTTGGAGGGGCACAGGGTGGGGGCTAGGTAAACTTATATACGGAGTAACATTCTTTTAAAATAATAAAAATACTATGTACATAAAAATAGTGAAATGCATATGGGTATAATATATAGAAAAAATAAGGTTTTGTACAAAATCAATGGTCATTCAATGTATTAACAATGAAAGTTGTTTTAATCAATCAAAAATTAAAATAAGAGATATCAATGTTTACAAATTAAAATTTATATTTTTTAAATACATAATAAAATGAAATAAATGATGGATAGTTTTAAATATTTATGTATAATGTTTTTTAACTTAATAATGTTCATATAACTTTTTTAAATAGTAACATAATATTACATCGGTGAGTTCAGTTGAAAGGTGTATTTAGTGTTTTAGCGGGTGTGATTATCACCACCCAGAAAAAAGCCAGGTGACATAAAAGTATATGAGCTACGAAGCTCTACCTTTGTAGGACCCCTGTCCCAAAATGACTTACCCAGAAGCCCAAATGAAATAGAATTTCAATTTTTTTTAAATTTTTTATTTAAAAAAAATGGTATAATTGTGTGTTAGATTATGTTATGGGTGGCATAAATGTGACTGAGCGGTGCACTTATTGTTGTTTTCACGGACTGGTTTTAATCAATAATTAATCAGCCCCTCTTCACGAGACTTTGAATGTCTCGTTATTGTCCACTTTTAATGGAGCCATTATCTCAAATGCCTCCTCAAACACACTTAGAGACTCTTTGTTTCAGCCTCTTAATTGTTCAGATGTCTGAATGGTTCAGTACTTAATGGTTCAGATGTTTCAGCCTCTTAATGGTTCAGATGTTTGAACGGTTAAGAGATTTGCCTCTGAATGGTTAAGTATTATACAGAGTCTGAATGGTTAAGACCTCTTATCTGAATTGATCAGACATTTTCCTTTGAATAGTTAAGCAATATACTAGCTCTTAATGATTCAGACCTCTTACTGGTTCAGCACTTAATGGTTCAGACCTCTTACTGGTTCAACACTTATCTATTCAGAAGGTGTCAAACAGCTCTTACTGACTTACACACCATTATCATTTGGTATGGATCATGTCATCACCGCCGTCACATTATCACACTTAGTGCCCCTCAACGTCACATCAGTTTTTTATTTTTTCATCACAACTCATCACACTATACAGGTGTGGATCACGCCCATCACTCCTATTTTTAAAAATATATTTAAATTAAAATAACTTAAAATAAAAACATTAAAAATTAAATTGACATAATGAGAAAAAAAGAAATAAGAGCCAAATAAAAATGACTTAATTAAATTAGCATTTCATTAATTTACGTTTACTTTTTTTAAAAATTCAAGTAACCAAAAACTGAAAAATCTTAAATTTAAAACAAACAAAAACTAAAAAAGAGTGAAAATAAATAGTAAACAAACAAAGTAGAAGAAGATTGAGAGGAGGGTAGGAGGAGAAAAGAGGGAGAGAAAGAAGAAGGATAAGAAGAAATTAAAGACGGAAAGAGGAAGAAATGCAGCAAACAAAAAAAAAAGGAGAAGAGGGGCGTGGTGGGTGGTGACCCTGAAGGGTATCACTACCATCAACGTTACAACTACACTATGTTTGGTTCAAGGAATTAAGGAAGAAAGGAAAATAATAAGGAAAAGAAAAGAAAAGAATATGTATTCTCATGCTCTTTTTGTTTAGTTAGAAGGAAATTTGCTGAGAAAACAATATAAATTCAAATTTAAACCCAAAAGATTTTATTGAATCAAAATTGAACCCAAAAGATTTTATTGAATCAAAATTGAACCCAAAATAAACTTTAGCATTTTCAATAATTTTTTTTAATATTATCGATTAACTCTAAAATACTAACATAAGATTTATAATTTCCAGCTTTGAAATTTACTAGTTATTTGTTATTGAAAAGCGAAGAAATAAACTCCGAGTGATGAATGAAGCTCTCTCCCAGCCACCTTATTTTACAATGGCGGAGAAGAGGAAGAGAGAGAGAGGGTCTGGAAATTTCAAGGGGGAATCTTTGTGAAGAAGGGAGAGGGAGGGAGAGGAGAGAAAACAGGGGAAGGTGCCGCATCATGGCCCACTTTCATGGTAATGGCGCGCACAACTGTCTTAGGCGCTCAACTGGATCCCGATCATTGCGGGAAGAGTAGTGTGATGTGGGGGGGAGTGGGCATTTCGGTGACGAGAAGGTTTCAGAGAAGGATTCTCTCCGAAGTAAAATGATTTTTTCCTTTTTTAATTCATTTTCTCCCCACTTTTCTTTTTCTTTCACTTTTCCTTTATTTTTTTCACTAACCAAACATAAAAACACATTTCCCTCTTATTTTCTTTTCTTTTCCCAGCCAAAATCCTTGAACCAAACATAGTGTTAAGGGGAACGGTTTTCCCCGATAGGGGGTGAGGTGGTGCCATGTGGCCATCACAGCGCACCACGGGCCACCCACACTCAAGGGCGTAAGGCATTTGCGTCAATTGGTTGAAATATGTTTAGCTCGAGCAGGACCAGTACCATTAACATTTCAAGAGACTAAGTGAACATTAAAATTAGATTTTTAAAGTTTATACTTCCACTGTCCAATAAAGTTATTCTCATTTTAACTTTTAAGAAATTTAAGAAAGATATTTTATGTTGACTTTCCAAAAATATCTTTGATGTGATAAGTAAAAAATATGATACAACAACAACAACAACCCAGTTAAATCCCACAAGAGTAGGGTCTGGGGAGGGTGTGTGTACGCAGACCTTGCCCCTACTCGAAAGTAGAGAGGCTGTTTCCAAAGAGACCCCCGGCTCAACATCGAAAGTTGCAGTGTTTGACTAACTGCTACTTCATTAATTAAAGAAGCGCAGATACTTTAGAGATCCATTTTGATTTATTCCATCACACCCCAAAGCCAAAAATGGTGAAATTTTGACTCCATCGGAGATGATGGAAAAGACTAAAAAATATGATATGATTGTTAAATTATTAAAGAAAAGGTATGATGTACTCCATCCGTCTCACAAAACATTTCTTGTTTTGAATTTTACGAAATTTAAGAATAATGCATTTTGGTGTTAACTTTCTAAAAATTCTCTTGGATGTATAGGTAAGAGAAGATCTGATGGGTATAGTAGTGAAAAGGTGTAATGTGATAGATATGCTAAAAATTAGTAGAGGCAAAAGTGAATTTTTAATAAAAATGAGAAATGTTTTTTTGAATGGATGAAAAAAGAAAGGAAAAAGCTTTTGTGGGATGGATGGAGTATAATATCAATGGTACATCCTCAATTTTTTTGGTAATAAAATCAGAATCCCTAAAAATTTGTGAGACGGAGGAAGTATAAAATCGAAATGTGCCAAATAAATCGAGGATACACTGGAGTGATTTTCTATCAAAAGATTTACTCCGAACAAAATTAAGAGTGACATGACTCATTTTTATCACATTAATAAGGAACATAAAGAAAGAAGTTAGATGGAATTCAACTCTATAATTAATAAACAAACAATTTAATTCAAAACAGAGGGAGAACGTGGTTAGCTATGTAGGCCGTGTTCCGTTCAAACAATCTAATATTATTTTTTGAAAAAATGTTCCCTCCATCTCATCCCTCCATCCTAAATATTTGTCTAGTTTTATTTTTTTACAGTCAAACCAAACTGACCTTTGATCTATAATTAAATAAAAATAACATGTGATACGGAGTATTATTTAGATAAAAAATATTTTGTAAATATTTTACAAGATAAATCTAATAAAATTAATTGTAAATCAATATATAATATAAATTTTATTTAATTAATAGTCAAAGTTTATCAATTTTAACCTTAAGAAGTGAAAACCAGACAAATCTTTTGAGATAAAGGTAGTATCACTTTCGCCCCTTGTTTTAAAGCATTACTAGTTCTTTTCATTCAGTAAAAAGTAAGCAATGCGGAGTACTCCGTATGTTTCTAGACATCTCAGGCAGAAAATTCAGATAGATGAACTAAAATTTATAGGAAACATTATCTCAAATAATCTCACCTTTTCGTGCTTTTTTCAAAAATAATCTCACTTTTCACTGTCACCGGAAATAATCCCACCTTTTCGCATGTGTGCGAGTTTTGGGTCACCGTTAAAAAACTAACGGTCACTTAACGAAAGTTTTTGAAAATGTCTGTTTTTTGCAAATAAATGAAAGGTGAGATTATTTTAGAAAAATTTACTTTTTACTTTTTTAGTTTTGAATTTAAAATTAATATTTTTAAAAATATAAAAATACACTCTTGTTAGAGATTTGTCTAACGATTAACAAATTTTGTTAATTGTTTTAGGAAAATATAGTATTGAATTATCAAAAATAATTCAGAATATCGATCAAGAAAGAAATTACAATAAAAAAAATTGTAGTGATTTATAAAATTTATGGGTTCCGTTTCGGAGAAAAAAATATTGTGTCATTTTCACAACTTTTGAATTACTATTTTCGGGAAAAATTTGTATTGAATTATTAAAAAAATCACAAAATGGGTAGTTCCATTTTAGAAAGAAAATTATATTGCAATATAAGATTATTAATAAATATTTCAGAGTGTTAATGGAAAAATTGCAATACATCAGAAAATGTAATGAGTTATAAAAATAAAAGTTCTATTTTAGAGAAAAAAAATTGTTGTGTTATTTTCACAACTATTGTAATGTTGTTTCACAAAAAATATTTATATAGAACTATCGAAAAATATTCATAAGTTTTGTAGTGCCATTTTTTTAAGAAATACTCCCTATGTCCACCATAGATCTTCCCATACACTATTCACAAGGTCAAACTTTAATCACTTTGTTTGCTCATTTTTACTAGTCATTTCATAAAAGAATATAGTCTTACCACCTCTAGTTTTGTAGAACTTTTCATGTAATTTATTATTATATAAATTTTATTTTATAGTTTTATTCCTATAATGAATTGAAAATAAAGTCGGTCAAGCCTCGTAACGCGTAATGGGAAGATCTTACATGGATGGAGGGATTAATAATAATGTAGTATCAAAAAATAATTTGAAGTGCAGCTCAAGAAAAATACAATAAATGCAACTTACAAAAAAATGTACTCCCTCCGTTATCAAAAACACTTCCTCTTTTATTTTTTTCCCTTCCAACAAAACACTCCCACTTTCTATTAAAAAAACCACTTTTATCCTTATTTTTTTTATACCCTACTTATCACATCATACTTTATCTCTAATAATCTATCCATCAAATCTTACTTTTACCTATCACATCAAGGACAAAATTGGAAGTCAACTACAATTTAATACTTCCTTATTTTTTACACAAAGTCAAAAGAGGAACACTTTTTCCAAACGGAGGGAGTAGTTATGAAGTTAATAAATTAGCTCTATTGTGTAGAATAGTTTATTTTCTAATTATTACCATATTATTGGTTATTGAAAAAAACAATTAGTTTTACTCTAAAAACACTTAAATTTGGTATTTTTCCAAAAAAAAATAAAATAAAAATACATTTAAAGAAATTAAAAAACGAAAAAGGGAAAATTTACCTAAAATAATCCCACCTTTCATTTATTTGCGAAAAACGGGCATTTTTCAAAATTTCCGTTAAATGACCGTTAGTTTTTTAACGGCGACCCAAAACTCGCACATATGCGGAAAGGTGGTATTATTTCTGGTGAGAGTGAAAAGTAGGATTATTTTTGAAAGAGCACTAAAAGGTGGGATTATTTGAGATAATTTTTCCAAATTTATACTTATAACCGTTACCAAACAGACTCCTCCTCTGTAGCAGCTATATTCATCTTCCTTTCATATGGTTAGGAAAGTCTAATCTCGGCACGCCACAATCATGATTACCATTATTTTGTTGATGAAGATGAAGCCGTAATCGGAAATGACCGTTGCGTTTGTTTATAGGAGAGACAGAAACTACACAGTAGAACGACAGAATGTGTACACATCTATATATATAACAATATATCTCCAACATATAACAATGAGGCATTATACTGTTTACAGATTATTTGTTTCTTTGAATACTTGTTGAGATTAATAGAGCAGGCCCTGCTCCTTACAATCATCCCACATTGACCCACACACACAGATCTCATTCACATTACTGTCCTCACAATATGGAGCATGAACAGATCTTCTTCTTTGGATCATCGTCAATCTTCTTTTCTGCTGACACACACACAGTGAGAGTCACAATAACTGAACAGGAAAATGAAGAGTAAATTTGTTTCACCATCATGTATCAATCGAAAGGACATGCTCAAAGTGTAAATGGTGTAACAAGCTACATGCAAAAATGACTACACTGTCGGAAGTGCTTGTGTTTGTGCATGAAAACCCCACAGACTCGTAGTGTTTGCGTAGATGGTGGTGGCTAAAAGTTGTGAGCGGAAGTGGTCTGTGCTTGAGTGAACGTTAGTGTTTGTGTATCTCTGTTTGTTAATATGTGTCCGTGTTGACAGAGGTGGTCAGAAGTTGTTGGCGACCATCAAAGGTTTGACAGCGGTGGTCGGAGGTTGGTATGGCGGCTGTGGTCAGAGGTCCATCAAGCATGGGTGGGAGAAAGAATGAAGAAAGCCCCTTTATTTATACAAACTAGAGTGACTAACTGCCTATAGCAGTATTTAAATTTTGGTAGAGTACACGAATCGAAGGCAAAAGGCCATAGTTTAGCCCTCGCCTAAACCCTTTGAAAACATAGGTAGGCATTAAAGATCAACTTACATCAAGATACACATCTTGAAAATTACTGAGTAAATACTTTTTTCCTTTTCTTATTCTGAACTTTTTTTTGAGGTTGTGTTATGTTTTGGTCATTGAAGAGAAACTCATCGTCAAAAGCCTTTAAACTTTGCATTCTAGTTTACTACTTACTATATGTAACATCTAATGTACACATGAATTACTAATATATAGTGATCAATGATAAGGGATACCATTTCTAGGGAACATACCCATCATCAGAAATGCCACATACATGGAAGCAGACACAATCCAAACTATATACATAGTATAATGTAGAAGTCAAAGGAAGGAATGAGATGAATAAATAACTAAAATACTGGTATGATTGTAACTGAATGCAAATACTAATGCCTGTATGAAAAAAAAGATGAGAGCAAAATAGCAAATGAATGCAAATACACATAATGCACTAAAAGCAAATTAGTGTTGAACGAAATAAGAAGTTAAAAGAGCATGGACTCCCAAAAATGTGGGACATTTTTTACGTGGCACAACCTTCATAAAGTGGAAACTGTGTGGTTGAAATTTATTTAGGGGAAGAAGAAACATTGTGAACCACATAAAACTTTTCAAATATATGAACAAACACATCTTTTTGGGGTAGAGATTAGAAAGAGTACATCTCAAGATTTTGCAAGCTGTATTTTATCTTTTATTCCCATCTCCAAGCAAGCACACTAAAATATGAGGGGCATTTAATTCAGGGATAGAGAGAGTAGTAAATTTATTGGCACCATGCATCATTTTGAGGAGACACCAAGTCACCAACATTTTAATGTTTATTATAGCAACCACAACCGACTATAAATCCAAATCCATTGGGGTTTGGTGGGTCAAGATGTACTCAGTCTTAGCCATGTAAAAAGTAAAAATAGAGAGACCGTTAATGCTAGACACTAGATGCATTGTTGCATTTTCTGCCCAAAACTTCATAGAAAGTAAGAAGGGAAGGAAGTTCAATGTGTCATTTTTTGTTGCACCATTGAGGATGTTCCATTCGCTAAATGCACAACAACTCACATGAGAGCCACCAAGGAAGCTAGTCATCATCAAACCACGCATGACTATAATTTTTGAAAGGGTGAGGTTGACATTTGCTTTTATCCAATATTGAATTCGGATACCATGACAAACAAATGGCATGTGGAATTCCCATATCTAAACCGTTCGGTTTTATCCAATATTGAATTCGGATACAGAACTTGACGTGTGGTTAGAATCATTATCCATACTCGCTAGTGGATACAAATAATTTTCCCTTCGCCACATACAAATGAGGAAGATATTCAACATTTTGATTATCAATTGTTTCAGGCTTGACGAGGCAACTATATAAAGCAGGGAGATTGATTAGGGGTTTATTCAGGCTCACAAAACTGCTAGGTTAAAAAAAAGGAAAGAGAATGTAGAGAAAAAAATTAAAATGAAAGAAAATGCAAGGCAAAACAAAAAATGTTACCCTTCCACTTTGGATGCCTTTTTCTATTTAACAAAGTATACCAAACATTGAAGTTTCAAAACCACAAGATTTTTCAAACATTTAACATCTTCCAAGACTTCCCAAATTTTTCCTTATCCCAGGCCCCAGGGTCTTCGAGGAAACAATATTCCAAATGATGGAGAGAAGGTTCACGTTCATCTCACATTCATTCCGATTTGAACAAAATAGGTATGTTTGCTTTGGTTTTATTTGTCGACAATAATCACAGACACGACCAGAACTTGTGGGTGAGTCAAAGAGGAGGAGACGTGATATGCCTTTAGCATAATTGAACCAGGTTGCAAGATGAGAGTCCTTTTTGTTTTTCTTTTTCATGATATATCGGTAATGGTTGTGGGATTTCATCAGTTACTAACAGAACCGAAAGAACCGACGATGAATCATTTGTTGGATAGATGTTGGACATTGGAAGTTGAAACTAGGAATGAGCTTTGAAGTTGTTACATACAAGAGTGTTTAAGGATACGAAACCCTGGTTCCACTATCCAAATATTCAAGTACGAAGATCAGCATAAGCAATTAAAATTTTCCAAACAAGGAAACAATCCCATGATTCCTAAAAAACATGCAATTTTTTTATATAACCAATGTAGTCTTAAAACACTACGGAGTATTTTATTCATAAAGAACTGAATAAAATAAACACATTCTCAAAAAGACATAAACCCAAATCAACAGTTTGAAATTAATTAATAACGAGAAACTATTAGGAAGTAGTTTTTTGATATGCTTAAAACTACCTGACTTTGCTTTAGTTTGAGCTAGCTGTACAACAGCATGCATGGTAATTACATCATCATCATCTGAAAAAGGCAGCTTACACTGACCAACAGTCTTGCTGTTCTCCAAAACTTTCCCAGAACTGATCAGTTTTAGTTCACTTGGTTCCTTAGGCACAATATTTTTACCTGAAGTTAAACAAAATACAAAAAAGTAAAATACACATTTGATTCTTCAAAACAGAGATTACATATATCCAGCTATGAATAAAAGATGAGAGACCCACGCAAGTGGAATCATCACTGCAGAACTTTACAAATTGAATCAAAGAGGAAAAAGAAGAAAAGCTAACCACAAAGAAATACTCGTATAACAATTTAACTAAGGTCAATAACTGGCTGCAAGTTGAAAGGTATCATGTGGTGATTGTATAAAAGTTTCCAGTTGATTGTGTGATATTAAAGAGAAGATGAATAAACCAAAATCTCCAAAGCGCCGAACTTAAGCTCAATGTTTAACTTGAAGAAAATGAAACATCGGACATTGCACACAAATTGAGCTTATGCTAATTATTTACAGTAAAAGGGCACAAAATTCATATATTTTCAGATCAAATGCTCGTCCCTACGTGAGGAAAACGAGTGAGAAACGATGAAACCTTAAAATTCAGGTAGACTAAGCACCACAAACAACACAGAAACAAAGCACAAACCTTTAGGCCATCCTGCTATAACTTTTTCCTTGAGTGACTCTACAGTTAATTGATCCTCATAATCGGCTGGACCAATATCTGATCCATCATTCAACCGGAACTTGATCTTTATCATACTCTAGTCGTCCAATCGCAAATCAGAAACCGCCTCCTCCTCCTCCTCAGCTTCGAACACCTAGCGCATGCAATCAGCAGGCACAATCGCCGCACAACAGGTCAAAATCCAATCATTCAACAAAAAGCCAAAATCACCAGATTCAAGAGCAGAGAAAATTGAAAAAGAAAACAGACAGTAATGGGGAGGCTAAAGCGCAATTATTTAAAAAAGAGTATTCCGAGGAATCCCAAAAAAAAAAGCTGAGAAAAAAGTAGTACCAGTGGATTACAGGAAAAAGGCTTTGATATGATAGAGCAGCAGATTTGATGAATACGTGGAAGGAAGCTTTGATTAAAATAAATCGAAAAGAAATGAAACGAATCTAGTTTCAGTACTAGTGATCATAGTAGAGAAGAAGAAACCCTAGGGGATGATGATGACGACGACGATGATGGGATTGAGATATAAGGATGGATATTCACTCTTTCTGCCCGCCTAACGCCTAAGCAAACATCCAAACGACGCTAGAAAGCACCCTTCATTTTGATCAATAATGGTCTATTTGAGCATTTTTGGTTGGAGTAAAAAAATATTTTTCTAAAGGAAATTAATTTTCAAAAAAAAATCTCCCAATTTTTTTTAAAAAATATTTTTAATTGTTAAGCTTTGATAATTGATATTTAAAAATTTTTTCTAATTTCAATTTTAAATTATCTTAATAACAAGGTGGCAGGTGGCGTAAAATGGGGGTGTTGGCTCAGGGTAGTGGGGGAAGGGGCAGGGGCGGATTGCATGAGTTGGCGAGAAACAGATGACAGTGCATGGGAGACATGGGGCAGAGGTGGACAAGTGGGATGTGTGTGGACGAGGTAGCAGGATATGAGGTGACGCATTGAAGGAGGGTGGTAGTGTAGTAGGGGGCAAGCGTAGGGGTGGTGGGTAGTAGGGGTTGGCATGATATGGAAGGTTTTGGGGCATGGGGGTGGCGGTGGCGGGCCGGGGCATCGGAAGAGGGCGAGGGCGGACAGTAAGTATGAATAAAAAATTGGGAAGATATTTTTCTCCCAACCAAATACACCCCAAATTTCAAAATGATTCTTTCTACTAATTTCCTTGTGTTTTATTCAATTCCTAAATGATTTTTACTCCGTATCTCCTAACCTTCTTAAAGGTTCAAATTTGTACTCTCTACATCACGATTCAAATGTGTACTCCCTACGTAAATCAAATCCCCAAATTTGTACTCCCCACGTCTCGATTTAAATTACCTATTTTGATTTACGATGTTTGACTAAAGTTATTTTCAACTCATTTTATATGAAAAACAATGTAGAATTAAAAAATAGAAACTACTTGTACATATTTAAAAACTACTCTGGTACATCATAAGAGCTAAAAAATCTAGTAGTAACATTGTTATATTTTTTTATCAAATGACTAACGAAAATGGGTACAGAAAGTGAATAAAGTTTGACTTGGGGCAAAAGGATTATATATATTTTAGACAAAATCTTAACTAAAATATAAACCAATTTAGGGGAGTTTGATTGAAGAGCAGACTTGGGAGGAGGGATTTGAAAGAAGAAATAAAAGTAAAAATTATTTTAAAATTGGTTGTTCAAATGGAGGATTAATGTGGACCAATGTCATTCATTAATATTATTAGGATGACACTAGTCACGAGTGTTCTTTGAACCAGGTTACTTACTACTCGTATAATACAAATAATCCGTAACATAGTGAGTATAAACTATGTTCTTAATATGTGCAAGGAGAATATGACAAGTAATTAAGTGATTTTTTTCTGAACTTTTGTACATTTTTTTTCCTAATAATTAGTGGCAAGTCTTTGACACTAACAATAAAGGCAACCATTCTCCCACCAGAATACCAATAATTCTCAACTGATTCAATTAATCAGTTATGTATATGAAATTCATATCACAGCCACAAGCCAGTAGTGCTAGATATATAGTATTAATTAAAAACAAGGGGTCAAAAAACAGGCTACAAAGTAGGGTGTACACAACTCCCATGAAAACAATGGCAAGTTTATGGATATTTACTTGTATACAACATAGAACTGTTAAAACTCGAGAATGTGCAAATTCACTTTATATCATCCCCCACAAACACAAAACGCTGCTGCTGCTACTACTACTACTATCACCTCACTGGCGGCTGCTGGCGGGCGCCATAGGCAAGGTTGGTTGCGGCGGAGGGGCATAGAAACCGCCGTCAGATGGTTGATACATCTGAAAAACAACATTTCCCGGAGGAGCGGAAAAGGGCAACAGTCCGTTGATGGGGGGTGGGACCCCCTGCGGGAAAATGTACCCCGCATTGTGTATGGGCCCCGGGTTCTCCAAAAAGGGCGGGTAGGAGGGTTGCATGGGGGGTAGAGGGGGCATGGGAGGCGGCGGGGNGGCTTCCAGTCTCGCCCTTTTCTCCGCGGGAGGAGCGTAAGCGTTGCGGTTGGAATCATTGGTTTGGGTGCCGATGACGCCCTCGGACGCCAGGGAGGAGAGGACGTAGGTCAGCATCTGGGCAGAGGATGTCGAGGCGGTCAGCTTGGCGGCGACTGCTGCGGCTGCAGACTTGGGGTCCTCTTCTTCCAGGTGGCGGGCGGGGTTTTCCACGTGGCGGGTGTACATGACCGGAGCAGTTCGGTCTCCGCCGCTCTCCAGCTTGAAACTGTGAACTGTTTGAGAGGCAGAGGCAGCAGCGGGTTGATCATCACTGCCTCCACAGCCATGCTCGCCCAATATTCGGACGCCGTTGTCACCATTAAGCAACCGCTTGGACATACTGTTTGCCTGTTCTGAACGTAACTGAGCAGCCTACCAACAGAAACAAGACAAGCCATTATCGCTCTTTTGGTCTACACTTCCCAATGTGAGGAAAAGGAAACAATCCTTTTTCCTTTCTTTCCAAATTCCTCAAACCAAACACACCGTGATGCAAAACAAATGTGTTGAAATAGTGCTTGAAAATTGAAATGGCTGAATTGTTTGAAATATTTAATAATAAGAAATTTATATTTTTATGAATAAAAATTAAAGGATCTGATATCGTAAGAGAGTAAATTTGCGCTAGTTAAATGAGCAATTGATGGGCGAGAAATCTGTGTGATGAACCCAAAGAGTAGTATTTAAAATGGACACTGAATTTGCACTATCCTACAGACTAATAAAAAAATGGAATTATTCCGTACCTGTAGCTCACCGCGGACTGATTCTAGTTTATATTCCTGATTCATTTTTTTAAAAAAAAGTCATCAATCAAAACTGGAAGACATGAACAACGAAACGAATAAGATGAAACTGGATCGCAAGAAAACCAACCTGTTCCCTCAGAGCATCTCTAAGCTGTGAGACAAGGTTTGCTCTGGATGATTCCACTGTCATTAGCTGCTCAATACAGTCCCTCAAAATCTCATGCTGCCCCTTAAGCTCATGTGCAATTTCGGACCCGGTAAGGTGTCCTTGCAATTTATTAAAGGAAAAAGTTAGAAAGCCATCATGGGTTCGACCATGGTGTACCTCATCCTAGTGGAATTACAAAGTATCTCTTTCTATGAATAAACATGCAAGCGCATGGCATTGCGGAATAATGAGTACTCCCTGTTCGGATTTTATAGTCCTCTTTCTAATATAACGTGTTTTTAAGAAGTGAGTTTAAAATGTCAAATAAGTTTGTCACCTATTCAAATCAATAATGCTCATATCATATGCGAGTATCTAGGATATTTAAGGCAATTCATTGGAATATCATTACTGAATATGAGTAGTGAACAAATAATTCCAGACAAATGAAAACAAGTGGAAAACTAAATATAGTCAGAGTATTTCATAGAGATGGAGTACGCCATGATAACATCACTCAAATAGAACGCCAAAAAAAGAGAACACACCTGAGTTTTGGTTGCATTCAATTTCCTTGTCGATTTTCTCAACTGAGTTTATAGCATGTCTGCATCTATTTAACAAAGCATCCTCATCTATATGCCCTCCATATAGCACCTGATAACTGGAAACAATTTTGTCCAGTCCATTTCCGACATGCCTCTGTCAAGACATTAGAAAGAGATTTATTACCCAAACAACAAACAGATTTGCCAAAAGATTTGCAGAAACAATTATCGAGCTGCAAAATCGTTAAAAAATTAGAATAATTGATATACCAGCTTGAACGCCGAGGGCTTCTCAATTCTACAGCTGTTTTCGCCATGCTTCCCTGCAAATTCTTCCTTGAGAATCTGTCCTCGAGAGCCAAATACTTTTCTTTCCTCCCAAATACTAATCTGAAGATCATAATATGTGAAAAACATAAGCACTGATATTTTGATATGTGAAAAACATAGTTATATTACAGATATTCAAAGCATAGTTGTATTATTCAATGTAAATATTACAACAATATTGTTGGTTGTGTGCATCAATTATCCCGTGGCGGAGGCTATGTGGGCCATGTAAATGTGGGCCAAGTCAGACTCAAATGTCTAGGCGCTTGTGTGTGATGAATGCACTACAAGGCTAAAGTAAGTGCTTTTTCTAACACCAAGTGGTTTTAGGAGAGTTGGTAGCGTCTAAGGTCCTAACACAAGGTCACGCGTTCAATTCCCAACTAGAACAATTGCTTAAGGGAAAGATTGTTGGCCATGTGTGTGCATCAATTGTCCAATCCTATGGCAGAGGCTATGCGGGCCAAGTCACACTCGAATGTCATAGGCGCTTGTGTGTGATTAATGCACTATAAGACTAAGGTATGCACTTTTCCTAACACCAATTTGTTTTAAGAGAGTTGGTATCTCCTTAGGTCCTAACAAATACTACCTTCGCCCCAAATTAATCTTCACACTTCCTTTTTTTAGTTGTCCCAAAATAATTCTCACTTTTTACTTTCCTAATAATGTAACGAATATGTTGTCCACAACTCTTCTCTTACTTCTAAACAATTTCAACCACCTACTTTTTATTCTTCAACATTCTTTTTAAACCCCGTGAAATCAAAGTGACATTTATTTGGGAGAGGAGTATATGACTGCAAATGTGCTTTGCTTATTGCAACATAGGTTTCCACTTCCTTGGTCCCACTATTTTGACAAATTTTCTTTTCCATCTTGACTTGACCCAAAAAATTTGTTACACACAGAGTATCATTTTTGGTATGATTTTTATGTGGCTCGGATCATCTCCACTTTTCATTTTTCATCATCAACCACAAAATTCTATTTTTTCTAAACTTGTGTTCACTCTACCATGTCCCAAAATTAGTGGGACGGAGAAGAATGATTTACGGTAAGGGTAACACGTTAAAAAGATTAACAAAGATATCAATGCAAAGAAACATGAGATATTCTAACCAAACCACATACAAGAAATAGCATCTTAACTCCTACATATTTCATGTCACTAGAAATATATTTGTTCCCTTACAACAAATTTCATATATTAATCATTAGATTAGATTCTTTGAATAATCCAGC